GGAACCGACCTTCGAATCTCTTCACCCAACACTTCTACTCGAAACGGAAGTAATCCCAACAATTATGAAAGAGGAGATTCCTCGAAACCCAACTTTTCTTCGTATACTTACTAGTTCACCACTTTTTCTTGAAACCTAACGTGACTATTATATCAGGAATTCTTGAGAGAACTATTACTATGTTTTATCTTTAAATTCAGCTAAAAGATAATCGTATTTAATTGAAATGTTTCCAGGCCAAACAGTGGACTTAAACATACATGCTATTGCATATTAATTTGTAGATATGCTCTTTAATAAGAACTTAGTCAAACTAGGTTGCTTAAGGTAATTTAAAGACTAAGAGGACTAAGAGTAATATGCCTCAGAATGCCAGTAAATTTAATTTAGCCTTGTCTCCCAGGGCTGAGTGCAGTTTCGAACTCCCCAAAAATGGGTCACAAATGCATGACCCAAACCCCTTATACTAATAGTACTATTATACATTTTCGCATTTAAGTATTGTTTCGAGACTACCTGTAAATCAGTCATATGAGATGTATTCACCCAATTTCGTTTAAGGTGATTACGGATTGGTAGAAGAATTTTCCCACACTGATATGAGTAGAGCCGACGTTTCAATTTGATTTCACCTAGCCATGCTTTCCTAAAAGTTGTTCTCATCCAGAGTGGACTGCAGTTTCGACTTCGCATCGGTCTTATCAACACCCCCAGCGGGGTGTGGGAAAGCAAGGCTATGTGAAATTCAATGGAAGCGTCAGTTCTATTCATATTATGGTGGGAAAATTATTCTATAAATCCTTCATCACCTTAAACGAAATTGGGTGAATACATCTCATATTACTAATATATAATAAACCTAAATTTGACCTCGAATTTAGGAGTATCAATAATTCACAATCCAATACTATTATGTTACCTCATATGAGAGCCGACGGGTAAAATAAATGTTCTTTCTCTATGTTTTCCTTTTTAATCTTGCTTATGATATAGTGATTTTAAAACAATCTGACAGCCTACGTAGTAGCTACTTTCACTGTTGTTTTTAAAATATTTGCAACTTTCCGACCTATTCTACATTACGTCTAAATGTCTCATTTTGCTATTTCCTGCATTTTGCATTCGATCTCGAGTGCTTTATATAAATTTCTGAGTTTTTTACCCTATGTAACACTCTATCATAACTTTGGCAGTTATGCTTTTTTAACTTCAAAAATTCTTCGAACTTGGATTGTTAGGCATAGTTATTTGTCTTTAGTTATGAGAAATAATGTTATTTTCCTATGCTTTCGTCAATTTCAATTTTAATTACATCACACGATAATATCACAAAGTCTGTCCTGGTTATGTGAGGCAAATTTGGCTTATCGATTTTACAAAATTTATAAATGGCCCTACCTAAAGAGAACGATTTCAAACTAGTTACATGGCCTGATGACTTGTAATATATAATACCCTAGACTAATAAATGGAATGAAAGAATACATCTAATTCCATAAAAACTATTAATTCGTGTCAATCCACATCTATACCACAGTAATAATAAGTAGAATGAGGAAAAGCAGATTTATATGGCACCAGTGTCCAGTTTCAGATATTTTTGTCTAGTTAATTTTCGAGAACTAAGGGATGTAGACATTAGGATTACATTTAGAATAAAAATCTTCCTTTCTTCAGATTCTGAATATGAACTATGCTCAATCTATTTGGTTTAAGGTTGTGAAGGCCAGATAGTTCAAGTTTAACAAAATTATGTGAGTAGATCTCAGGTTTTCATTAAATTTCACATAGCCTTTCTGCAGTTTCGACCTCGCCTAGGTCCCAACGAATTCCCAACGGGAGTCGAACCCGGATAGTGAAGCGTTTAGCCTCGACACATTTCTTCTGATTTGCCTTATTTTCGATAATATTCGTTCGCTCTCTTCAGCTCAACATGTTCCATGCTTTTTTGCCTATGTCTTATAATTAAAACCACATGAGCATGTTTATTAATTATCAGAGATTTGTAAAGTAAATTTTCTCAATTTTCAGCTGAATTATGAAATGATATTGGAGTCCTTCTCAAAGAGAACAGACGTGCTCACGCTGCCATTTAACTTCGCTTAGCCTTGCCTTTTTAAAAAAGTTTCCATCAGAGTTGGACTGAAATTCCGACATCGTCTAGGTCTCATCAGTAACTTAGAACGGGATTAGAAATCGGGTCGAGAGCATCGTGGCAATATATCGCTACTAGGCTACCAAGCCCGATTCCGGTAGGTCATAGGACATGTGGTTCTCAGGGCAACCTGAACCCTTTCGAATTTCCTTTAAAGTGGGATTGTCGAAGATGTAAACATGTATTTACCATTTTATTCTACATCTTTACCTATATTCACTATGGGTGTCTTGAACCTACAAGTAATTTCTGACTAGGAAATTAATGCTAGCTTCTTAAATTACTCGCACTGATCATAAATAATATCGTCGGCTGTAATTTCAAATTCTAAATTGCCTCGAAAGTACTACCATAAAGAGTTATTTTGAAAATGTCTGGCTAGTTTTTAACGTCCTATAAGCCCTGTGACCCTTTGGTATCCGGGGCTGTGTAGTCGAGGCATAACATCGTGCTAAAGCGCTCATGACTGGGTTCCGAATATTGTGAAAGAGTACTGATAAGAAAAAACAAATGCCGAAACTACAGCCCAACTTAGACGATAGAAACCATTAGTAGGCAATTTCAAGTTTAATTCAACGATATAGTAGTCATAATTATGGGAAAACTCCACTATCTGAGCCTAAATCACCTTAGGAAACCATGGGTGGATATGGCTATCGAATAGGATTCGGGAACGGGTCCAAGACTGACCAGTGATTAGGACGAATAAACGTGATTAGTCAAGAGTTAAACATGAACATAGATAAGTAAAGTGACTCAGGACCATGGCATGCACATAACACATATACTACCGCACACTAAAACGAGCTTTTACATTGCAGGATCAAATTTAGGTGAGGATACAGGCTTAGCTTGATGTAATTTTGTTTTGAAACCGCTTTAGCAATTGGTCGGGGCCGCAGGTATGCCTCGTGAAACCTATTCCTTCCTGCCTCTCAGCTATGGTAGTTATGAAAATTTTCAGCATCAGATTGTACATTTAGTCAGTTGCAAATCTGTGTTAAGAATGGTGCCTCCCATTGATGATGCCGGCTGCGATGCCTACGAGGAATGTGATGGCAAAGGAATGAGGACTGGGTATGTCCCACAAGTATATTTTGTCACACCGAAAGGATAGCGATGTTGACATCAAATCAACATTGAACAGCCTAAGGGGACTTCGATCAGGCCTGAGGCAACATAACCTTTTCTCGTAAATAAGCAGGTTTTCGAGTCCACCAATAAATTTGATATATGAGTTGTGCTCACCCTATTTTGTTTAAGGTGATGAAGGACTAGTAGCTAAATTTTCCACAATGATATGAATAGAGCTGACGTTTCCATTGAATTTCACATAGCCTTGCTTTCTCATCCAGGGCGGACTGCAATTTCGACCTCGCATGGTCTTATCAACACCCCCAGCAGGAGTCGAACAATGATAGTGCAGTGTGTAAGCTTGCCACGTTAACCACTACGCCATATTGCCAGGGCAGATGTGAATTTCAAGAAATGTCAGACATTTTCCATAGTACATTCTGTGCTGGGATTGTCGATGAAGCAAACCGATATTTGCCATAGCAATCGACGACATTACTTTTTTCGTAAACGAGTAGATTTTCGAGGCTACCATTAAATGAGATACCAGTTGTGTTCACCCTATTTCGTTTAAGATGATGAAGGGCTAGTGGCTGATTTTTCCCACAGTAGTATGAGTAGAGCTGGTAGTCTCGAAAATTTACTTATTTTTGAAAATAGTAATGTCGTTGATTGCTATGGCGAATATAAGTTTGCTTCGTCGAGAATCCCAGCACAGAATGTGGTATGGAAAATGCCTGACATGCCTTAAAATTCACGTCTGCCTTGGCAATATGGCATAGTGGCTAACGTGTCGAGTTTACACATTGCAATATCATTGTTCGACTCCTGCTGGGGGTGTTGATAAGACCTATGCGAGGTCAAAACTGCAGTCCACCCTGGATGAGAACACCTTTTGGGAAAGCAATGCCATGTGAAATTCAGTGGAAAATATCAGCTCTACTCATATAATTGTGTGAAAAAGCCACTACCAGTCCTTCACCATCATTGCCTTCATATCTACCAGCCAAACTTGAAGTAGTCAACCAAATCATTGGATGCCTCATTAATGTTGCAAAATCAATTCTTGGTATAGTGATTTGTAAAATTGGTTTGTAGAAAGCTTCCACTTTTCTATGATGACTGTCATGGCAGGACAAAAGGTTGCTCAGCAAGGATTTTTCTACTCTCAGGGTGGTTCCTAGAGGACATTTTCGCGCAAATCCATCGTCACAACGACAAAGCAATCCTCCAGCTTCCAGTGAAGCCGACTAACGAATATCTCCAACCGCCTTTTGAAACGAAATTAACGATATCACAACAGCCTATCTTCGAGTAGACCGTTGACAAAAAGTCCAAAATGGACTGACCCCAATTTCATTCTAGTTGCCTTTGGTAGCACTGACTCCACTTGACTTTGCGATCTCAACCTGGTGCTGTTTGTTTAGTTTTTGACTTCTTTTGTTTATCTGCACACTTCATGTAGACCTGTAGAGTTTAAGGGGTCTCGATGACGGTACAGACTGAACGTCACCAGCTCCGAGGTTAGGCTAAAGGCCGCGACCATTGATACAGCAACGTCCAGACAATCAACGCGCTGCTATCAGTTAGTGTGGCGCGAAAACTAGAGGTATGCAACATCACAGTGCACGCGCGGAGACGTTAGCTCTATGGTTAGACAGCTTGGGGCGTATGGACGAGTCTGGGTGACGATCTGTGAAGTGGACCCCTCGTCTCGACAGAGTAGCGTGAGGCCCATTGAGAATGGCTTCGTTTGTGTAGCCTCGTGAATTCCTGCGAGACCCACGACTAGAACCGGGCGCACTGGCCTACTCGGCAAGTCAACTGCGCACAGACTGCGCAGGCGGCAGGAAGAATGTACGTTCATCCCGGGGCTGGCCCAAAGCCGAGGCAAGAGTGTAAACTTTAAATTTCCAATCGATATCAAGCTATCCATCAAAGCGTAGACGCCTTCGTGTCTGTCTGCTCCTTTCGCTGAGCCTACCCCTCCAAGCCGCCTATGCGCACTTTCCAGCCCTTGGGCTGGCCGCTCCCCGTATCTGCTGCTCATTTTCACTCTTCCACTGGCCTCCAGCATTACTGCCTCCGACAGGCCGCGAGGACGTGGACTGGCGACTTTGTGAATATGGACGTGTGCCAGCAGTGCGTGAATGCCCACCACGCTGCATTTGAAAAGTGTTACCAGCCCCGATCGATACCGGGCATTCAGCAGCACGAAGCACTCATGCGTACAATGCCAATCAAGAGGCACACACGCGTGCGTCTAAGGCGGGCTATGAAGGCTCAGGACGAGGGAGCAGCCTATCGGTCTCTGTCGCTATCACAAACAGCCTTGTTCTAACGTACATCCAAGCATTGGGAAGGTATGCTGTGGGATGCGTGTACGCTTTTAGGTGCACAAGCGTACAACACTGACTGATTGACTGGCTGACCAGATAAAAGACTCCTACGCAGACCCAATCCCATTGAAAAACAGAGGCCTGTGCAGCACAGACAAAGGGGCAGCCTAGCGGACACGGGAATGCAAACACATGCACACACGCAACAAGGAACAAGTACTTTAATGGTGATGTAAGGTCAAGCAGAGCTCTGATGAGGCTCGAGAGGCGTGGAAGCAAAAGCAATTAGATGAAAAGAAGGGCATGGTGAAAATAGTCTGTCAGTCAGTCAGTAAAGCATTCAGTTAACCAATAATTTACTCACTCAATAACTCAATCGCTTAGTCGTTAAATTTGTTGGTTAACGGTAATTCAGTCAGTTATTCAGTCAATCAGCCGTCATGTTGTCAGTCGTTAATGGCTCAAGTAATTCACTAATTCGTTTATTCGTTAACTAAGTCATTTAACCCTTTCTTCAGACATTCACTCAATAAATAATGTATTCATCCATTTATTCGCTATTCCTATAGTCAGTCAGTTAATCATTCAGTTAATCCTACACTTATTTAACCTGTTTGTCAATAGTCAATAGGCCAGTTAATCTGTTGATCAGTCATTTTGTCAATCGGGGGGCCATTCATTATGTCAGTCATAAGCTACTTAAGCGATTAAATAATTTATTCGTTAGATTACTCAATAATTCAATCATTCTCAAATTCATTCACTCATCCACGTATTAAATCATTCAGCAGGTCAATCAATCAGGCAGCCAGTCCATAAGTTAGAGA